TTCCCAATTGTCTCTCATGCGAGAACAAACAGGGTTCTAACGAGTAATAATAAAATGAAATAAGCTAAAACAAAATTGGCAATTCAGAATTGGAAAAAACAAACAGAAGGCAAATATGCTATCCTAACTACGTAAGTTGCCTTCTCATTCTTTTCTCAATCATATATCAGAGTTAATCTTGGATCGACCATTTGTATTTATACAACATATTTATGAAGCTCTGACAGTCAGACAATTTTAAAAGAAAAGAAATCCTGATAAATTTATCTAAACTCCATCAACACAGATGCATTTTAGTCTTTATCTCCTTGCCATTTTAAAAACTTCTGATTACTTTGTTGGTATTTAATAGTCTTACTCATATCTACCATACAAGTTAACTTATTAGTTGACAAGAGAGTTTTCAATAACCAAATCATCATGGTTCTAATTGTTCCATATTTATTCTAGTATGTAAATCCAAACAGGTCAAAACTTAGTAACACAATATAAAACTAACAACGCAGCATTCATTTAATTATGCTTTAAATCCTCAGTGATAGAAGACTGAAAGGACAGCAATGGTGATTCTTATTATCATGGAGGGATTTTATACAAAAATATCACATACACTGTTTTGGTAGATTTTAAACATATTTATGTTAGAAGTATATATATATTCGGTATGACTGAGACTGAAATGTCCATTAATGTTTTGAGTTTAAATACAAAATATAAAATATAGACTTTACTTTTGGCTCTGGCCTAAATTCAATAATTACTTGGGAAATTAAGAGATAAATAATTATATGTGAGTTAATTATTATGTCACCAATTATATTTCCAGTGATTGTAAAATAGAATGATTATTGGTTCTAAATAATGACTATTTTGTGTAAATTAGGCTTCAAGTACATATAGTTCATTCTGGTTTGTTTTGGAGATTGTCTTGGAAATAACAAGAATTTATTTTCTTAATTTGATTTTTACAATCAAAAATAAGAAAAGAGTAAAAGGTTGGGAAAGGAGAAATACACTGATTAAATTAACCAATGGAAAATGCTCACTAAGGACATACTTTGATTTAATACAAATGGAGTTATTATTCAGAAATGACTTTTGTCCATATGATCCATGGGAAATGAGGAATTTAATAACATTGAAACAACAACAACAACAACAAATGTCCAAGCCATTGTTAACACTACCCAAAGCCTGTAATGAGTTTAATTTTTGTTATATCAGTTATATTTCACCAAAATCTATATCATACCCATTTTGTGAGAAAGAAAATATTTAAATGATAAAGAATAATTTTGTATTTGCTAAGAATAAAATTTGAATTCTTCAAAGAACCCAAAACCAGATTACACAGAAGTATTTTATGATTCTAGGGGAAGTGGTACACATATTGTCTTTCATAGATACTAGTTTCCTGTTTTTGAGTTTCCTTTGAATATGCAGTTGTAGATTTATTGTAAAGACAACTGTGAATCTATATTATGGATAGCCTAAAACTCTCATTGGGCAGCCTGAAGACATGACATATTTTTCCAAGATGAATTTGTCTCTGGTGGAAGATAACTTTACAAAATACTTAATGATTATTTAACCCAAACTGTACAATTGTCTTATATCTGAATAGCACACTTATATAAAGTAAACTCAAGACCTGAAAAGGATTTGCAATGAACTTAAAAATTAGTCATTTTGTTTGATACATCTATTACATCACCAAAATAATCTCATACAGAATTAGATGTAGAAGTAAGAGTATGAAGAACTCTATTTTTATTTCTCAGCAATAACCTAATTTGTGTGATAATATATAACTAAAACTGTAGGTTTTTGTGAAATCTCACTTAGCAGCTACTCTTACCTTCAAGAATGTATATGTGCAGTTATATTCTATACCCTGAATATGTGTGTGTGTGTGTGTGTGTGTGTGTGTGTGTGTGTGTGTGTGTGTGTGAAAATCAGTAATAGAAATAACAACTACACTTCTTGGCCTTTTGGCTAATATCAAGTGTGGAATTCTTTAGTAAAAGATGTAACTTGAGCTACTCTATGGTGGATTCGACACATTCTGGCTTGACCTGCAGCATGGTGGATTCCTGCTGAGTTACACACAGGTTTCTGCAAGCCACACAACTTGGTGTATGGTGGATATAGTTTTTGCTACAAAAATATAAACAAACAAATGAGATTTCTGGGCTACACACTGCTGTATGGAAGCATTAGACCAACTGCTTCCCAGAGTCAGCAATGAGCATGGTTCCCAGAGCTGGCTGTAAACATAGTTCCACCATGTTGAGAAGCTGAGATGGGCAGAGCCAACAGCCAAAGCTACCATTTCAATCATAACCTCTCTGTGGTTTAAAGAAATATATTCACAATAAGTCATATTCAGATTAAATAAACTTCTAAATGGTTTATGGTGTGAGCAAAAATGTACATAGACTTGGAAGAGAGAGGAAAAGGAATATAGACAGTTATATAAAGAAATAGTTTTAAAATATAAAGTCTTTTAAGAGACAGTAAAGGTAATGTAAAAAAAAAAAAAGCCACGTAAAGATGGACATTACACAGAGAATCTGGATTGTGTTGTCTTTGGGATTTTTAATTGTAGAGAGACATTTGATTGTAAAAGCTGCTGAATAAAATAAATATGTATATTTTCAAGGTATCTGGACTTCAAAGTTTATGTCTAAGGGCATGTTGCCTTGGGAAAGAGGTTTTGCTTTTGTTTCCACAGAAGATGAGATCCTGTGGATTGCTTCTAAGCTGATATGGTTTGACCAGCCAAGACCCCTGAAAGGTCTCCCATGACAACATGGCCTAGATGATCCAACATCCAAAAACAGCTTCAAGGCAACTGGTTCAGAGAATGCATCCTCATAGACTATTTCAGGCAGGACTTGACCATAATTCCCATAAGGATCCCCATAAGAATACAGTGCCCTTTATCAGCAGGAAGTAGCCTAGAACACTACACACACATTCCCCCCTCCAAAAAAAATGGATTATGGATGTCTGTCTTTGTTTAGGTTGTTGGTTAGAAATTGTTATTGGTCATAGTCAATCTCTTTCTAATAGAAGAAAATGGTAAATGATATAGAAAAATAGGATATAGATATGATAGGATAAAAGGGTAAATTATTTAAACTACTTTTAAAGAGCAACAACTTTTTAAAAATATTTTACATTATTATGGATTTTAGTTTATTGAAACAAATTTGAAGTTAATTTTGTTATATTGTATGTGCATATCTACTCTTATTAAAGGTATTAATTATGTTTATGTAACTCAATTAAATTGGAATGGATAAATAAGAAATAGATTAATAATTAGTCATCTACAATAATCAAACTTATAGTCATGTTAGTTAAATTTTCTAGGTATATGTAGATATATTTCAATTAGGTAGGTAATATTCAAACATTTCAAAGACCTACAGAATATGACATTTAAAATTTTTAAAAACTTAAAATTTCTAGACAATGTGACACATGTGCTCCTGGCAGCACCGATTTACTTCAGAGAGGAGGCTGGGTGTCAAACACACTCCATATGGAATTTTAACTTCTTGGCAAAAATAGCCATTTAGGCAAGAAACTGTTCTTGCCTGGACTGTTTGAGAAAACATTTTATCGACTGGATATACAGGACCCACAGGAAGGTGACCATTGAACTTTGCAAGACAAGATGGTCCTTTAGGTTCCTGCTTCGCAGAAGAAACTGCCAGACATTCTACAGGACACAGAGAGAAGTGACTGAGGGACTCTAAGCCTGTAGGCTGAGGAATGGATGCCCCAATGCTGCAGAAGAACGTTGGGTAACTGTCTAGGTAGCCAGCTATCTCTGTCATTCTAGATTTTTGGAAGTTGCTTATAGAGCTCTTCCTGTTTCCCTAGGTAATATAATATCCTTCCGAGATCTTTGATATAGTTGAAGACTAGATAGTTATAATTTTCCTTGGTTATGATAAAAGATAAATTAGATATGAAACTTTAGACTCACAAAAATAGGATAGATAAAACATTTTCTTTAATTTTGCCAAATACAAATAGACTAGATACTGTAACTGTAATTCTTGCTTGATAACTGTTCTATTGTATGTAATTTTACTGTGTTAAAGTTAAAACCTTCCTTTTTTGATTAGATAGAAAAGGCAAAATGCTGTGGGATAATGCTTTTGTACACTGGTTTAATAAAATGCTGATTGGCCAATAGCCAGGCAGGAAGTATAGGTGGGATAAGCAGACAAGGAAAATTCTGTGAAGAATGAGGATACACAGCCTGCAATCCAGGGAGCAGCATGTCATCCAGGGAACAGCATGTAATGGCACACAGGTAAAGCCATGGAGCACGTGGCAACATATAGAATAACAGAAATGGGCTAAGTTAAAGTGTAAGAGCTAGTCAGTAGTAAGCCTGAGCTAATGGCCATGCAGTTTAATTAATATAAGCCTCTGTGTGTTTACTTGTGTCTGAGAGGACACAGACCAGGCATGACACAGAAAAACTTCCAGCTCCAACCTAAGAACTTAATCATAAGCTTTTTGATTTTTTTCTCCAGCTCTGGTTACACATTTGATTAACTATTTTGTTCTCATTGTTGGACTTTTTTTTTTTCTCACTGTGGTGGGATATAAATTGCTATTGTTTAGAATTTATGAAATTTCCCTTTTTTATCATGAATGGACTAAAATGCATAGGGTAAAATGTCAATACAAAACCACCAATTCAAAGAATACATTAGCTGCATTGGTAAGGGTATTAAGTAACAAAAACATAAAACATACTTCATTATTATAAAGTGCACTATATATGAGCTTTTGACATGGATACAATTCAGAGGCCACATTTTATTCAACACTGAGCCCCAGGCTCTTGTCTCAGTAATTTTGCCTCATTTATTTCTGTCTGGTTATCCATTAAATGTTTAAGGGTATTTCCATACATACGAATATAAATCTATAAAGTGAACAACATTGATAACATTATCTCTATTTCACAGATGACTGAAGAGGAGTAAATAAAAGATCAAATGCTAGAAGCCAGGCAGAACAACATTCGCCATCGCTTATAACAAGGTGCTTTGCTAGTGATAAATATATTATGACACCTAGTAAAATTATTGTCCCTAAAGTATACAACCATCATCATGTCAATTTTAAAGTATAAAACAGCACTTATTTTTAGTGTAATTTAAGCTTTGACCTTATAACATTTATTTTCAAAATGTTGCTAAATTTCCAACTAACTGCTGCAGACAGATCACTTGGTCCTTCTCGTTATATACTATTTCTGTTTAGACACCTATAAACACCACAAAGTGAGGGATTTTAACTACAGACTTTCTGAACATATATGTAGCAGCTGTGGAGTAAGCAAATACCACTTTATTAGTATAGTGAAATGTCATTTACTGGCTGATATTGAACAGTAGAAGATCCTGTATTTTAAGTTGAGACCTATTTAGACTGTATCAAAAGGTTTTAGAATGATCTGTTTATGGTTAACATGAGAATATAAAGTATAAATGTTTAAACTAACTTATAATTGCCATAAAAAGTTGTGCCCTAGTTTGTGTCAAAAGCAATTGCTTCATCCACCTTATAGTGAAGTTCAGACCTGTTTTTATATTCAAGAGGACAGAAAAGATGAGGAATTACAGCTCCATTAACTCCTGTAAAATATAATATTGTTTTAGACTTGCAAATGGAATGAGTACCTGGAGGGCTCTATCTTTCAGGAGCCAGACTAATTTGTATTGAGCAACATGAACAGTACAGTTACACAACAGAAATAAATGAGAAACACCAGAGAAGAAATACATATCACAATCTCCACACAGCAAGAAATCAAAACAAACCACACTGAATGATGCTGCACTTTAGAATCAACTTGAATTGTCTATTTTTTTACCCTTTCAGTCAGCCTCTGATTAAATTTTCATGTGTATACTCTTTTGATGCTCTGAGCTTAGCATTTCACATTATCAATGCTTGAAGTGTTTCTAGGAAATTCATCATCTAATTGTGAAATTATCTTCTTCATTTCCCAATATACTTATCATAAAGTAAATAAATGAAACATCTATAAAATAGAATAAAAACAGAAAAATAAATAAGAATTATATGAGAGAGTTAGAGAGATGGTTCAGTGCTTAAGAGGACTTGTTTGTCCAGGGGACCCTGATTTTATTCTGAGCAGTCACAGTGCAGCTCACAAATATATATAACTCTAGTTTCTGGGGATCTGACATCATCTTCTCTTCTACTGGGCATCGTACATGCATGTGGTGCACAGACATTCATGCAGGCAAAGCACCCATGCACACAGAGACAATTATACACTCAAATTTACAACAACAACAAATCTACAAAAAGAATACATTTTCTTCAACTGTTTCATTTAAGCAGTTGTGCTAATCAATCCATCATCACATTCAACTCTACTTCGACCTGGGTAAATATAGACCTACATTAATATTAAATAATATTTAGGAAAACTGAAGTGATAATTAGCATTGTCTCATTAGAATTTTCAGCCAATTAAAAATTAAAGTCTATAGTTAGCTTGTCTTGTGTGGCATCTTTATTCTGTCTCAATCTTTTGTGACCTTAAACAAGTGTATTAAGACTTTGTTTTTATTTTCAGAAGTTTAAAAGAAGTGTAATCCACCTATCTCAGAATAGTTTATGAAGACTGACTCAGGAAGTAAAGATAACGTGTTTAGTGGAATACCCATACTATGGTCCAAAAAGGAACAGTTCTTACAGCTATTATTTTCAGGTTTTTTTTAATTGAATAAATAGTTTAGTGTTTTGCATAAAATTATATCCTTATAGAAATCACTTCCCCATTGTGTATAGTACTTTCTCTAATAAATATACAATGAACTAGAATGTAGATAAGGAAGATAATCTTGTAGAAGGTACCACTTCAGTGTCTTTACCTGGTATCCTTGGTGAACATAAGTTCCAGAAACATGAGATGTTTTAGATCACTTACCTGTGTTTACCTACTTCTCCAGCCCCTCTAGCTCAGCCTTATGGGATAAATACACATAAGCTTCACAAGCTGTTCATTGAATGATAATTTTTGATGAAAATTTTGAAACTATGTAAGAGTTCATTTAAATTAAATTTAAGTATGGCTTCTCCCCATTATATTCTCCCTCAATTGTTTTTCCACTGATAATGAAAAACAGTTAATTTTATATCCTAAGTGTTATGTCATTTACTTAATATTACCTTTTCTTTTATATGAGTTAAAATTATTATCTGTAATATATATACAATTTAATTTTATTAATAAAAATCAGTAAGATAGGCTGTTTACCTAGTGGATCATTTGCATTATATGTTTGATAGTCTTCTTAATTTATAATGATCATAACATTATCAATGTCATTGTAACAAAGAGATTCAGATAATACTCAAAATATTTTTAAGCATGTCTTTAACTATGTTTTCATATTTATTTCCATCAGAGATACCATTTGAGGAGTGATAATAATATAACAGACATAAATAAAATTTATTGTGGTACTATTTTCTCCCATGTTAATCCTTTTTAGTAGATGGTCCAAGATAATTTTTGAAGTTGACTACTGTGAAAATTTAGAAAAATTTCCAGGTCATCACATCTTGCAAAAACAGGATTCAGCCTATGTCTGTCTTGAAATGAAAGTGTTAACCTGTGCAATCTCCTTATAACACAAAATAAAATGTTTGTCTTCCATGTACTTAAGCCATTAGAGCATCCAAGCAATATGTCAAATTTTATTTTTTATGCCCCCTTCAGTTTAACTTTAAATATTATAGATTAATTATATATCATATCCAAATACAGATATAAAGACTAAGGTTATCAAATTATCTTAAGTATGAATATTCAAAAATAAAGCAAATTTTAATGTTATTGACACATTCCCCTTCAAATAATATATACATTTTAATTAAGTAGTTGAGAACTCTTCTTTATCTTTTAATTCTTACGCAAATTTAGAATAATTATGCTAACTTTACCTGAGCATTTTATAATGATACTATGATGCTAAGAGTTAAGGCATCCACTTTGAAAACAATACCTAAATAGTGATGTGTTAGAAATGGAATAAAATACTATTTTTGCCAAAGTTTGAATATAATAAAAAAGAAATGAAAATTAGAGAGTAAATATATTTTTCCTAGATTCAGACTATTAAAATTATGAAACCATATTAATTTAAGATAAATTTAGTCTAATTCTGTAACTCAATAACAACATAAAAGTTATTTTACACAAATTCATTTCAAGAATTCTCCAGGATGTTCTTTTTCTCTATCTTCCTAAGCGGCAAAGCATTGATGATCTTATTTAAAATTCAGTATGATATACAAATGCAGAGGAAACTCTACTGAGTTGAGAATTAAGCAGGAAACTAGTTAAAAACAACTCCAGGCAAGCTCAGAGGAATGCATGTTTTGAAGAGGAGTGATCCACATAAAAGCTACTGTGGGGACAGAATCAGGACAATTTGATAACTAAGTGCCTATAAGTGCCTATGAGGGCTAGAGGGGAGGGGAAGTGAAACATGTTTAAATCATTTAAACTTGGAAAAGTAGGTAGATACTGGTGTTATACGAAGGTGTGGCAAATTTAGTTTTGCAGGATAAAAATAAAAATATCAGTTTTTAATGTTACAATGCAAACACTCAACTAGGAGATAGATATTAGGAGACCAGAGGCTATTAATGTAAAATATTTTAAAGATAGTTATGATATTAATTTTCACCTGTGGATGTAAACAACAGACATGTTTCCAAAAAGCTTAAATAAATAGCTGAGTTGTATCACCATCCCCCAAGCTGGAATAAAATACAGCTTTAGAAATGCATTAATATCCAGGATGTAATGTTGTTAGTGCTCTCTTGGCTCTGACACGGAAACTTCCTGCTTCAATCATTTGTCATTTCTAAGACTTTCCTTATTAAATGAATGCAAAAAATTATGTAAAAAAGAATCGAGCAACTGAGGTGCTTTAGTCCTAGATCATCTGTCTGTTACTTGCCCCTTTTGTTTCTGATCCCAGTTCCTAGTTCT